GTTTCAATTTATTCTGGGGATAAAAAGGCAGACATTATAAGATTTATTCTTCTGCTAACTTTCATTTTATTTTGATTTTTGATTTGTGTATTTGTTTTCTGTTGTATATAGTTATTTAGTTTTTTACTGAAATGAAACATTTTTTGAATAGAAAAATTAGAATTGAAGTTTTTAAAGATGCAGTAAATATTACTGATGTTCTCCTGCTTTATTCAGGAAGTAGACCGTACCGAATGCTCAGACTAAAGCCTGAACTTGATTTGATGCGGATCATTAACATTTATAAGGCTCCTGAGTTAAAGTAGAGTTGTTGTTGGTTCTGTAGGGCAGCAGCTTGAAGTCCGGTCCGTCCAGCAGCAGCTTCGACCGGAGGAGGCCGAGGTCGGAGGAGAACCAGGGACAACCAGGAGGAGAGAGGAGGCCGGTGTGGTGGAGCGATCAGAGCTCCTCCACTGTTAGTCTGAACTGTTTCCAGCACCTCCTCAGGTTCTGTCTGAAGAGTCTCATGTAGGATCTGAAGTCTGTGCTGCTTTTATCGTTTGCAGATGAAAGCTGGACCTGGAAACCAGAACAAAGCCAAGGAGGAAGCCAACGAAAGAGGAGGAAACCAGCAAGGAGACGCAGCCACCAACTCCAGCGCTCCTCCTTTTCCTCCTCAGAGGAGCTCAGGGGTAAATCTGACTGCAGCTCCTTTGATCCATGAGAAAAGAGCAGGAAGTGCACTTTAATGCAGCTCAGCTCATGTTTTCTTCTTAATATTGAAATCATTTATCAGGGTTTTACCTGCCCTGTCGGGACGCTGACGCCAAATGTTACCTGTTCAAAACCTGRTCTGTACTTTGTACTACAAAAATATTATCATGGGTACACACACAGGTACATAACTGATTGAACAGATACAAACATTGCAGACTGAGTCACTCATAGTCAGTTATTTAATGAAAAACAAATATTTTAGACGTCTGCAGTGGTTCCTGTCAGAGGACTGACCATGAGAGGACTGCTCAGTAAAACTGGATGATCAGGATATTTACAGAGTGCAGCTTCTTCTTTTAAATACAATTTACAGAACATGAAGAAGTACAGATTCATTGAATCTTTCATATCTGTCTCATATCTGAAGATACTTTTAAGATATGTTGAACTGGAGTCTCACCAGRCTAATGATAAACCTGGTGTTATTTATACTGGTCAGAATATATTTAGAGATGACTGCAGAGAGAAGAAAAAACTGCCTCTTATTTTCAAAAGACAAAACAAACAAACAAACAAGCTCAAGCTGGAAAGATCTCCAAATTAAAAACAATTCATCAATTTATTAATACAATTAATAAATAAAACAATTTCAGATATTTGGAATGTAAGTATGTTGAAGCCAAATAAATGTAATATTGGCCTGCCATACAGTGAGCTTCCTCCTGTGAACTGATCTGAGGAGACGCCGACTGTTACTTTAGCAGGATGAACAACAAATAAAAAACAAACAATTAAAACAACAAATAAAAATAACAAATAAAACAAACAAATCAAACAACAAATAAAACAAACAAAT